AGAGAGAGAGAGAGAGAGAGAGAGAGAGAGAGAGAGAGAGAGAGAGAAAGAAAAGAAGGAGTCAGAGAGACACCATGTAGCCACCCAGGAAGCAAGAGGTAACAAACTATGAGCCTCGTGGTAACATACAAAATAACAAAATGGGTTAATTTAAGATATAAGAACTATCTAGGAATATGCCCAAGCCGTATGCCAACCAGTGTAGTTTTTATATGATTATTCAGGTCCGGGCAGCTGGGAAGCAAAAAAAACCAGTCGTTTACAGCACTGTATTTTTTCAGTACTGGGATTGAACTCAGGGACTCACCTATGCCAGATAAGCACTCTATCAGGAAGACAGATTTTCTTTATTTTGAAAAAAGAAATCAGCTAAGTTGGTTAGGCTGGCCTTGGATTTACTCTGTAGTCTGGGTAGACCCGGAATTCTCATCCTCCTGTCTCAGCTTCCTGAATAGCTTCAATTACAGGCTTGCACCAACAGGTCTGGCCAACCTTACATATCAATTTCACATCATCCTGGATGGTCACACTTCTTTTTAATCCAACCAGATATCTGTATCAGCTTCCCTTTATTGACTCACTTGTATGTGCCCCGCAAGTGCCACGGTGTTTGTGTGGAGGTCAGGGGACAACCCACAAAAGTCAGTTCTCTCCTTTCACTATGTGGGTCCCCAGCCATCTCGCTGGCCCATTCCCCATTTCTTTACTACATTTATATCACACTGATACAACAGGATATTTAAGAGTGAAAAAAACATAAGACGTGGATGCCTTAGCAATTTTTTTTTGTGGCTTTGCAAGGGAGCAGCCCTTACAAGGCAGGTGACAGACATCTGTGACCATTCAAGAATTTCTGTCACTGACATGGTTCTATTATGTCTCAAGCAGCACCAGCTGCATAATTCGTGGGGTCTCAAGTGTGAGTTCTTGCTTAAAATTGGGAAGATGTTTGAGGGTGGAGCTGAGAGGCCAAGTACTCCTCTAACATGGTGGGAGATCTTTGGTTTAATCTCTAGCACCAGAAAATGGCAGCGGCAGCAACAAATAATACAACACGAAAAGAAATGAAAGATTGAAAGACCTCAACATAAAGCCAACCACACTGAACCTCATAGAAGAGAAAGTGGGAAGTACACTTGAACACACTGGCACTGGAGACCACTTCCCAGCAGCACAGACACTGAGAGAAGCAATAAATGGGACCTCCTGAAACTGAAAAGCTTCTGTAAAGCAAAGGACACAGTCAACAAGACAAAACGACAGCCTACAGAATGGGAAAAGATCTTCACTAACCCCATATCAGACAGAGGGATGATCTCCAAAATATACAAAGAACTCAAGAAATTGGTCACCAAAAGATCACATAATCCAATAAAAAAAAATGGAGTACAGACCTAAACAGAGAACTCTCAACAGAGGAATCTAAAATGGCTGAAAGACATGTTCAGCATCCTTAGTCATCAGAGAAATGCAAATCAAAATAACACTGAGATTCCATCTTACACCTGTAACAATGGCCAAGATCAAAAACACTGATGACAACTTATGTTGGAGAGGTTGTGGGGAAAAGTGAACACTTCTGCATTGCTGGTGGGAATGCAAGCTGGTACAACCCCTTTGGATGTCAGTGTGGCGATTTCTCAGAAAATTAGGAAACAACCTTCCTCAAGACCCAGTAATACCACTTTTGGGTATATATCCAAAGGATGCTCAATTGTGCCACAAGGACATGTGCTCAACTATGTTCATAGCAGCTTTGTTTGTTGGAAACAACCTAAATGCCCCTCGACTGAAGAATGGATAAGGAAAATGTGGTATATTTACACAACGGAGTACTACACAGCAGAAAAAATAACAACATCTTGAATTTTGCAGGAAAATGGATGGAGTTAGAAAACATTATTTTGAGTGAGGTAACCCAGACACAGAAAGACAAGTATCACATGTACTCACTCATAGGTGGTTTTTAAACATAAAGCAAAGAAAGCCAGCCTACAAACCACAATCCCAGAGAATTTAGACAACAATGAGGACACTAAGAGAGACTTACATAGATCTAATCTAGATGGGAAGTAGAAAGTAGAAAAAGACAAGATTTCCTGAGTAAATTGGGAGCATGGGGACCTTGGGGGAAGGTTGAAGGAGGGAGGGGAGCAGAGAAAAATGTAAAGCTCAATAAAAATCAATTAAAAAATTGAAAGCAGAGTGTGGGCACCCTCCTGAGTGTGACACTTGGACTACATAAGCCACATACTCACAAAGTTGGTCCCACTCTCACATGGAGTCTACCTAGGCTCAGATCTGGCCTTGTGATTCCCTAGTCATGTGACCTGGATGAGCCATCTATAATACAGGGATAGTAAGATTCTCTACCTCACTGAGTTCTTCCAGGGTGGAATTAGGTATTATCAGAACAGTGTTTAAAATACCTGGCACACAGCAAGCACTATATAAATGTTTATAAATACACCTATCAGACAGGCTTAAGCATCTCAAAAGGCTAGTGACAATTACAGCTGTGACACTGGAAATAAATTTAATTCTTTCTAATGTTTGAGAATTTAGATTCCTGATCAATCGGAACATGTTTTTTGTTTTTTAAAAAAATAATTTTTATTTATTTATTATGTATATAGTATTCGACCTGCATGTATGCCTGCAGGCCAGAAAAGGGCACCAGATCTCACTCATTACAGATGGTTGTGAGCCACCATGTGATTGCTGGGAACTGAACTCAGGACTTCAGGAAAAGCAGCCAGTGCTCTTAACCGCTGAGTCATCTCTTCAGTCCCGGAACATGCTTTTATTACTACAACACTGATCACTTTTTATTTTAACCACACCGATTTTGAAATACTGACTGGATACAGGCCAACAACACAGACAGACTGAAGAATGAAGAAAGACATTGCTTATGGCCAGAGATCCGGAAGCCTGGGGAGCGTAAACTGTCATGAAGCCAGTTTAACAAACTGCTTCCTTTAGGCTGTGATAGCTCACCGGGGACACCACTGCTCCTACAGAAGGATTCAAGCCTGACATGTCTAAACAAAACCAAAGGAACACCTTGTTCTCTCTCCCCCTCTCCCTCCCTCCCTCCCCGTGCCCAGCTCTTATGGAGTCCAGGCTAGCTTCAGACTTGCTAGCTAGCCAAGGATACCCATGATCCTCCTCCCTCTACCTCCCGAGTGCACAATCACACACATTCTAGTGACAACGCCTATCCCTAAGCCTGACTTATCCTCTTCCTATCTTTTTATAATGTAGAATCCTCTTGTTTTACTTCAAGCTGTAAAACAGGAAAGGTTACCAAACATACAAACTCTATATTTATGTTGAGAAAACCAAACCAAAACCAAACCAACCCCCACTCCCCGCAAAAAAAAAAAAAAAAAACAACAAAAACCCAAAACAAAACAAAACAAAAAACCCCATGGCTATAAGAGTCAAAAGAAAACCTGCAAGTAGTGTTATATACACTTTTATTTGATGTGCAGACACAGCTATTTGTTTTTCTTCACTGAGTTATTTGCACACTTTAAATCCTTCACCACTGATTTTTCTTTGGGCTTTTGGAGAACTTTACAATAAAGATAGATAGATATAGTGAATATTATTGGAATTGTATTAATTCTCAAGAGTCTTAAGTTCCCATTTGTCAAACAATTCGCCCAAGGTACACAGACTTGGGGTACTTCTCCTTAAGAGTCGGCCACTGAACGATGAAGCAATCACAGAGGTGATAGAGAATCTTCCCAGAGAGGGATAAAGTTTCCACTCGGCAAATGCTCTCGACGTAGACAATAATCACTTTCTTTATTCCAAGTATCCCAAGGAGCAGGGCAGACACACAGATGGGAACACATGTTCCTGGTCCATTACACAGCACCTTAAAAAAAAGAAAAAAAAAAAGACCAAATCAAAATACAGAATCCTGTCTTCAGTGGACCATTCTGAATTTAAAAACACTCTAGTCTTGGAGGAGGGGTGAATTTATTAATCCAGTTAAGTCTTCCTTAAAAAGAACACGGATGTGACAGTGTGTACTGAAGGCAATGCACTCAGAGGTCATGCGAAGCTTTGATGTCTTGGCTTACCTGTTTTCCAGCTGTGACACTTGGTCATCATCCTCTCTCTCTCTCTCTCTCTCTCTCTCTCTCTCTCCCCCCCCCCCTCTGTTGTACACGGACTCATTCATGTGCAGGTAGAGGCTAGACATTGGGGAGTCTCCTTTTATTGCTTTCCACTTTACTTTTTGAGATAGGGTCCCTTGCCGAATCTAGGGCTTGCCATTTTGGTTAAGTGACTGGCTAGGCCTAGAGTCCTACACCTGTCTCTCTCCACCCATCAATGCAGGGCTACTAATTAATTAATTAATCCTGTGGCTTTTGGGTAGGTGCTGGGGGTCCGAGCTCAGATGCTCATGCTGTATAGCAGGTACTTTACCTACCAAGCCGTCTCCCTGGTGCCCCACAGATCATTTAACTTCAGACCTTGGACACAGTGCTTGGTTATTACTTGGTACTCATGGGATGGAGGATTTAGTCTTATCGGAGCCTCACGAATCTTCAGAGCCCCACAATACAGAGAAAACAAAAACAAACAAACAAAACCCAACTAACTATGATCCATTCAGTTTTCTTTCTTCTACTTACATGTTTTCTTTTATATTTATTTTATTTTTTTAAAAAAGAAAACGAATTATCTTTTTTCATTTTACATACCAATTTCAGTTCCCACTCCCTCCCCTCCTCCCATCCCCTCCACCTCCCACCCCCACCCACTCCTCAGAGAGGGTAAGGCACATTGCTTTGGGGAAGGTCCAAGGCCCTCCCTACTCTGTCTAAGCTGAGCAAAGTATCCATCCAAAGAGAATGGGTCCGAAAAAGACAGTACATGCAGTAGGGCTAAATCCTGGTGCCGCTGCCAGTGGCCCCACAGTCTGCCCCAGCCATACAACTGTCAGCCACATTCAGAGGGACTAGCTTGGTCCTATGCTGGCTCCTTCCCTGTCCAGCTGGAGTTGGTGAGCCCCCATAGCTCAGGTAAACTGTTTCAGTGGGTGTCCCCATCATGGTCTTGAATTCTCTGCCCATACTCTCACTCCTCCCACTCTTCAATGTGTTTTTAATGTAGAAGAAAATGCTCTCCGTGACTATGATGTAGTATCTCTTGGGGTTCCAGCCCCACAGACAGGACACTCAGAAGAGGACTACCACACGAAAGGAGCTTTCATTTTCCTCCTCGAAAAACCCGAACCTGTGCTTGGAACACAGACGAGCTCCAATATCTCTAGAACTCTACTAATACCTACAGAAAGCCGGCAATTTTAAACGAATTTAATCTAACAAAAGAAATAACAATTCTAAATGCAGAACAACTACAGCGAATTTTTATTGGTCTTTGAAGAAAGGAGAGGAATCTTATTTCATAGACGTATTAATAAGATAATTTATGACTGCTTGAGAGGAAAAAGGTTTGTAGAATATCGTTCTCGTACGCCCATATTGACTGAATTAGTAAAACCCAATAAATCATTTGACTTCGCAGCTACGAAACAGGAGACATGTAGCTGTCTCCACATGCCTATTAGCATCATGCGGAAAGTCACATGGTCCTTCCAAAACCAAATCCACAAAATCAGAGTCTTCCAGGGGATGGGTCTTCAGACACTGGCCTGAACGTCCTTGCCAAACAGGGCCTCTCACCCGGATGGACAACCTGCCTCTGGGTGAACATGGCTAGGGTTGCAAGAGTCATCTTGCTTAGCTCCATCCTTCCTGCCAGCAGGACCACTGAGACACCATTCACAGAGTTCTCTCTGCCCATTCTCAGGAGAGAATCAATATATATATATATATATATATATATATATATATATATATATATATAAAGCTTTCTGATAATTTAAATAGTTTCCGTCTTTTACAGAGAATTTTTCATTCTTGGGTTAGCAGCGACTAAGCGGAGCCAGAGTCTAGCCTTTCATCCCCCCTTAGATTCACAGACTCTCAAAGCAGTACCGTACAGATGTGGACCCAAGGTGGGGTGGATGAGGTCCACGGGCTGAGGGACCCAAGTATGGGCGACAGCAGTAGCCCTCACCACTATTAGCTCCCTATGGCCGCAGACCACACCAAACACTTGGCACATAAAATGCTTTAATTGTTACTCACAGTAATCATTTGAGAGAGGCTAAACTATCTTTTCTGGTAGATAAGAAGGCAATCTGTTTGATCACAGGTTTAGGAGGTGGAGAGGTGATGTGGCTTCAGGCTACATTTTCCTTCCGTTATCCCCCTAGCTTAAAAACGAGGAAACCAGGCTAAGTGACTTGTCAGTCCCCGGATGCCAGCTTGCCTCTACTTTGGTTGATACCTGCAGACCCACTCGGAACCCTCTCAAGGCTTTAGAATGCCCCCTCCCAGGTGTGGGGCCCGGCCTGTACATCACGGGGAGGTCGGCAGCATCCCTGGTCTCTGCTGTCAAGACAACCAGGAAGGACTTGAAGCACTACCACATCTTTCCAGGTGACAGCAACTATTAAATACCTCCTGATCCTTGGGTTTATAGTAATCTTTAAAGCAGCATGGGTCAGAGCCAAAGTTACAAAACTAAAGCTTGTTGGAACTTGAGTGACACAATACATTTGAATGTATTTCTTTAAATACATGTCCATGTGTGTTCACTTCAACATCCAGCTGACTCTGGATACAAGGGATACATATGCAAAGGACTGGGTGCTGGTGAGAGATGCCCATGGATGGAAAGGAGAGGCTGGGGAAGGTGAAAATCAAAGGTATTTTGTTTGTTTCTCACCAGTCTGTATCTCCGTACTCGGAGGCACCTTATATAAAAGGCCCAGGCACAGCAAAACCACAAAATCATAGACCAGCAAGTTAGAGGGAAACACAATATAGGCCGGGATAAGATTACTGATGCAGTGTGTGCAAGGTCCTGGCTTTCACCTCTAGCCCAGGGTAAAGGAGGTAAAAGGGAATTGGAGAAAAATAAATAAATAAAGGCAAACTAATCTCAAGGAAAACCACTTTTAATTATCCACATATTTTAATTCTGACTTGCAGCAGCCTAGATTTTTTATTTACATGCGGATTATGATTTTATTATTCCAAGAAGCATACCAGAGAGACTTACTGCAAGAACTGAGGGGTTAAGGAGGCTACCAAGAAGCCTGGTGTTAAATGTAATGACTGAAAACACCAATTCTCAATGGGCGCTGATTCACTGCCCTGGCCGTCTCTTCCTCACCAGCCTGCAAGCTCCGCACTGGCATAACTTACTTCAGAGGAAATCTACGTCTGCAACAGAACAAAGTTGCTTACAAGGAAGAGAGGAGGCAGGAGCAAGGGGTAAGGAAAGAGAGACTACTCTATGCTCAGCCCATGTGGAGTCAAAGGCTCCCTTCTGGTGAGTGTCCATTTCTACTTGACCGCTCATACCATACCTAACCATAACTTTTGTGGCGGGCTAGCATAATGGGGGTCACCTACAGATTTTTCTTTATCTTTTACACAATATATTTTGATCAGGTTTATCCCTTCCCCCAAAACAAGATACTCTCTATTTCCCTACCTACCCAACTTTATTCATTCTCTCTCTAACAAACAAAAAAAAATTGGAAAAGCAAGAAACCCCTCCAACACACACACACACACACACACACACACACACACACACTCAAAACAAACAGGCAAAAGATTTTTTTTTTTTAAAAAAAAAGCCAAAACAAAGCAAAAAGTCTACAAAAATACCAGTGAGTTCATTTTATGTTGGTCAACAGCCAACATCTATTACCTGTTCCTCAGGAGAACCAGTACACCCTTCGCTCTTGACATAAGTGTTTGAATGACTTTATATCCAGCTATAAGGAAGGGACACATAAATCCTGTCTGGCCAGAGCCCTGGATTCTTCTGCCAAATGACACTGGTTCAGGAAGAGCACACAAGACAGGCAGAAACCACAAGAGGGTGGGTCATCTAAAGGGTCCGCTGAGTGCTGAGTGCAAGTAACTTTTTTCATTTCTTTCCTTTTCCTTTTCCTTTTTCTTTTTTTTTTTCTTTTCTTTTCTTTCCTGAGACAGGGTGTTATACAGTTTTAGATGGCTAGCCTGGAAATTATTATAGAGCTCAGAGTAGCTTCAAATCTATGGGTTATCCTCCTGTTCCGTACTGAGGTTACAGTACATGCCAGGGTGGAGCAGCGTTTTCTCTACTGCGCTGGAATCCAGATGTGTGTGAACTCTGAACTCCTGACATCTAACTTCTTATCACGTGGGGGACTCGAGAATAAAGCCACCAACTGCCAAGGCAAGCGGAGTTGAGAGATGAAGACAGGCCAGGTTCCCTTTGAAGACCAGGTTTAAGGGCCGTGAATCCAGCTGTGCCTGCTGAAGGACACCAGATCTTCCCCAAACCAGGCTTGCCAGGTGTGTGGGGGGGAATATGTTCTATCTGTGCTTAAGCCAGTGTCAATCAAACTTTCCGTGACTGGCAAGAAAAAAAGCACACCAATTGGCACAATCCTTTCTTTTGTCTAACTTTCTAACTAGCCTCTATTGGCAGTGCCAACCAGCAGGTGTTCAATGCGTATCTGCTGGATGAATTACCAAATCAATAAATATACTGTGAAAGTAGGAAGTCTGAGAGATGCACTAAGGTAATGCATGTCAGAGATCTAGAAAACAGAAGAGGTCAGGCCACTGTACGTATGTTACGTATGGAGTCATGAGGGAAGACGTACCAGTCGAGGACCAAGGACGGTCATAACAGGTTTGCTGTTCTGTACATTTGAGTCAAACAGGGCAAGTCCCGTGGGCTGAAATATAATCCCGACATGCATGAAAAGACATGCTTAACTTCATCAGTCTG